ACATATGTAAATTTCTGCCATAGATATCCATTGATATTTTTCCGTTAACGTTTAAGAAGTTATTGAAGTCTCTATGAGTGGAAGCGTATAACAGCTAGCAATGGTGGAATGTTATTCTTTCATTTTGCTACTGTTATGATATCTATTCATGTGAAAATTTTCAATACTTCTTTATGAATCCGATCTTGATTTGAAATTCTTTTTATAACTTTAAAAACTTCAATAACGAATCACAATCAATATTCTTTAATAAGACACATTCAAGTAACCGATTCAAGATGGGCGTTTCATTCATTTGTAAATTTTATACGTTATTTTTAGTTATTGCGTACGCAAAGGTGTGTGAATCTGTATTTACCTACAGATAAAAAAACTTCTACATATTTAAGAAATATTTAAAATATCTATACCTAATACTAGTAGCACAGAATGTATATGCATATAATATTAAATAATTATGATCATTCGATAGATATTCATAAGAGTAACTACTTTAGTATCCATGATTAATATAGTTAAACTGGTTTTAACACGAATAATTTTGTGGTAAATAAAGACATTTACCTCTCTCGATGCTTCGTCTAGTATCACTTTAAAATCGCTTCCGAATAAACCATTATATGATTCCCATGTTTGGACTTCCTACAGCCACAGATAATATAATATTAGGTACATACTACAGCTAAGGATTTTGTATATCAACTCCATAATAGGTGGGTACGAACACTTATTGCCAATCGAAACAAGGACACGGTATTGTAAATGAAGAAATTCTGCAAGTCTCTGTACTGTCTCCTTTTGTGTTTTGTTTTTTATAATTTTGGCATGTATTAAATATCATATATATTATAATTAATGCTTTTATAATTAATAAGGTACCTCCTCTTTTCATCTTTTTTAGAAGACATTTACCTCTCTCGATGCTTCCTCTAGTATCACTTTAAAATCACTTCCGAATAAACCATCATATGATTCCCATGTTTGGACTTCCTACAGCTAAGGATTTTGTACCTATATCAACTCCATAATAGGTAGGTAAGTAGATATACTTATTGCCAATCGAATTGTGTTTTGTTTATTTATAATTTTGGCAAGTATTACATATTATATGATATTATAAATGTAATATCATATAATATGTAATATATTTATTTATTTTTTTATTTATAAAAACTTCATGCACAAATATAAAACAAAATAAAGGTGCATATGGCGGACTTAACACCATAAGGCATTTTCTCCCAGTCGACCATAGGGCAAACAGAGATTAGTGGGCGGTGCATTTAAATAAATAATAACATGAAATAAATAATAAAAGGAGAAAGGTACAATTATAATAAAATTCATAAATTGAAATATATATATCCAACTACATACATACTTAAATAAGAATATATAAATATAAATATATTATATATATATATATATATATATATATATATACATATACATTCAAGTACATAATAAAATACATATAAAATTTATACATATATACCAAATACAAATCAACAATGAGATATAATCAATCATGACAAATCAAGAGTGAAAGCGGGAGATAAATTAACACTATATTAATGTATTCATTTAATTACAAAAGTCGTTGGAAAGATGTTTTCTTAACTTGGATTTGAAGGTAAATTTGGTAGTACTCGATTTAATGTCAAGGGGCAAAGCATTCCAGTGTTTAATAGCCTGAAGCATGAAAGATTTAGAGACGAAGCTCGTACGATGAGCAGGAACGTGCAAGAGTAGATTCCTAGACGGACGAAGATTACGGTGAGAGATGTCCCCATGAAAAAGAAATTTGGTCTTAAGATACTCAGGAGTGTTTGGATCGTATAGGACTGAATACAATGTACACAAGAGGCGAACAATTCTGCGTTGGCGGATCGGAAGCCATTTAAGCTTAGAACGATAAAGAGAGATATGGTCGTACTTGCGAAGACCGAAAATGAAACGAATAGCATTATTAAGAAGACGATCCAATTTATTTAAGAGGTCCTCATTCATGTCAGAGCAGCACACATCAGCATAATCAATAATGGGGAGCACGAGGGATTGAATTAGTAAGGTTTTAGTACTGCTAGGTAGGAAATTTTTAAAACGGTATAAATTACGCAATGTGTAGGTAACTTTACGGCTCACCTCATCAACGTGATTGGTCCAGCTGAGAGTACTGTCAATTGTTACACCAAGATCTTTAACATGCGGAGAATATGATATAGCCATTCCATTAAATAGCACTGGAGGAACCGTACTCATGTTAATTTTGCCAAGTTGCCTCGAGCCACCCAGTATAATCGCTTGGCATTTGCTGGGATTGACATTGACCCCGAACCGGACCGACCAGTCGAAAATGTAGTCAAGTGATTCATTCATCATATTTACGGCTTCAGAGATTTTTTCGACCTCAGCCTGGCAGTAGAGCTGCAAGTCATCGGCATAGAGATGGTAAGAGCAGTCGAGGTTATTAGTGATGAAATTAATGAAAATAGAAAAAAGCAAAGGAGATAGAATACCGCCTTGAGGAACACCAGCCGGCAATTCACACCAATCAGATATAGTCTGGTCGATGCGAACGGCCTGCTGACGACCTCGAATGTAAGACTGGAACCAATTTAAGGCCACAGAGGAGATCCCAAGATGAGAGAGCATAGCAAGAAGGATATCATGATCGACTGAATTAAAAGCATTAGAGAAATCAATTAAGACAAGAATGGTAATTTTGGAGTTCTCCATGCCATCTCTCACATCCTCAGTTACTTTTAGAAGTGCCGTATTAGTACTATGTCCCGTACGGAACCCGGACTGAAAGGGGCTCACAAGTTTATTGTGAAAAATGAAATTTGAGAGCTGTTTGTGAGCCACAGCTTCCAGGATTTTGGAGAGATAGGGCAGAATAGAGATGGGCCTATAATCTTTCAAATTGTTTGGAGATGACACTTTAGGAAGCGGTAGAACAAAAGCCTTTAACCATTCGGAAGGAAACGAACCAGAAAGTAGCGAACAGTTGACAATGTGAGTGATTAGAGGCAGTACGTGGTTAAGTATGAGAGTAATCATGACTCTACTCACATCATCAGTACCAACGCAGTTGGATTTTAAAGAAGATATAATTTTGCGGATCTCCTCGGCGGTCACTGAAGAGAATGAAAATGGATTTGTGGAAAACTTAGGCCAGGAAGCAATTTTATCTAAAGTTGCTCTCTTGATAGACGCATTAAGCGGGACGGAGGAAGAGAAATGCCTGTTAAGGTCATTTAGTGAGAATGGTAAAGTGACATCACTGGACTGTTTGCACAAACCCAGTGTTTTTAGGAACTTCCAAGTATTGGCCGGTGAAGCATTTAACAAATTTGAATGAATGTAACGGCGTTTAGCTGCTCTTACCATATAATTACACCGATTACGAGCCGTCTTAAATGAAATCCAGTTCTCATCAGTACGAACCCTTTTAAATTTACTGAATGCCTGATTTCGTTTCCTCATTGCTATGCGAACACCTGTCGTAATCCAGGGTGCAGGTGGTTTTTTTAATTTAATGCTGTGTAAGGGCGCATGTTTCTGGTAAATCTTAAGGATACAAGCATTGAAATAGGAAAGTTTCTCGTTAACTGTCGCGGCTTCAGTAACACAATCCCAATTAATTGAAAGAATGTCCCTCTCAAGTTCCTCCGCTTCAATCCTGGTGAAGTTACGTATACGCTTCATTACAGATTTATGTTTAAATTTGATAGAATTGTAAGAAACGTAGATAACATCATGTCGGGAAATACCTGGTGCGGGAACCTGACCATGATTGAGAACGAAATCAGGGGAAGACACGTAAATATGGTCAATCCAACTATCGGGTGAATTTATATTGGTATGGGTGGGACCAGTCCGGAGCAACGTCAAGTCCACTGAATTCATGATGTGACAGAGCTTGCGAGAATTAACAGAATCGCGAATAAGGTCGGTATTGAAATCGCCCATGATGATATGGTGAATGTGCTCTGACATGATGGATTCGAGAATTGTTTCCAATTCGAGAAAGTAATCGAGAGAGGGGGGACAATAAATAACACCTAGAATTATTTTGGTACCCTTGACATAAATGCGAATAAATAAAAATTCTGCGTTACCCGAAACAGTAGAAGATGCTACTATTTCAAATCTGAAACTACTGCGTAAGTAAATCGCAACACCACCGCCACGTTTGTCCAACCGGTCGTTACGAATAATAACATATCCAGGAAGACTGTAATGGGTGGACGGCATAGATGGCTTCAGCCAACTTTCTGAAACTAAAATAGCATCTACATTGACATTGAAAAAGGTATTAAAAAGCTCACCATGATGCTGAGGAATACTTTGAGCATTCAGGTGACAGATATTAAGGCTATAAGGGTAACGCTGAAATTCGTCATAAAGATGAGAAGAAAGCGATACGTCTAAAAATACATCAGGAGATGAAGTTAAGGGACTATTACTAAAATTATAAGAGTCATCGAGAGCAGAATAATATGATTCATCATCTGACATCACAACTCAATTCAAAAATATAGTTTGCTGATTTTAATTATAAATATAAATAAATAAGAAGAATAGTATAATAATATAATAAAAATAAGAGTAAAAAAAAAAAAAATACTAAAATTAATCCAGTACAAATACTCTGCTAGTACCAGCCGGCCAACTGTTTACAATACAAAAGAAATGTTTTCGTACATACATTAAAATATTTTACACACTAGAATTATAGGCAAATACAAAAAAAAAAAAAAAACAAAAACAATAAATTACTACCTTAACTATTAAGCCACTAATCACTAAGTTTAGTGTATAATGACAGGAGAAAATTACAGTGACAAAGGAATTACGAAATGGCTATTTATATTCAGCTGACTAAATTAAAGTACTCTGTGAATAAAAATAGATGTCAACTAAATGTCAGATACCAAAAATTACAAATACGTCAAAAATGAAAAATTTACCTATTATAATACAAACAAATTAAGTGTAAAAATATTAAAATGAGGGTGAATATAAAACAAGAGTAAAAGCAAATGTTACAGTTATATAAATCGATCGTATAATATAAATCTACAACTACTTAGTATGTTTCACCTTCATACCACGACGAGTTCTTGTGACTCCAGGAACCAAATTGTCATGCTGAACCGCTTGGGATGGTGTATGCAGTATATTGGACATAGTGGGCATGCTAGAATTGGGGACTATAGCGTCCAGGTCATCAATGATGTTAATACGGCAACGCCTGCCTTCTGGATCTTTAGCGTAGATGTTGCCACTGAGCGACCAAACATTTTTCATTCCTAACCGCTTGCGGGCCTCTAAGAATAACTCTTGTCTTCGTCGGGTTAAGAATTCGGAGATGACAAACTTGGTACCCTTAAATTTGGTTTTATTTTTCCAAATAGATAAACCCAAAGCTGGATTGGCGAGTCGGAAAACAATGGGTCTGTGTCGTCCCTCAACCACTGTACCAAGTCGATGACAGCTGGAAATATCTGAGGCATGAAGATCGGACAGTTTGAGGTGTTCTTTAAAAATAGATGTAATCACTGTGGCCAAATCCTCATCACTCTCTGAAACTCCACCAAGGAGGAGATACTTCCGTCTGTGCCTCATCTCAATTTCGTCAGTGGTGTGGACTAAATAATTTATTTGCTGACGGAGTAGACTGAATATTTGATGTGTATAGTTTTTAAATTCATAAAATTCATTTGATAATTGTGTGATATCGGTTGATTGTGGACTGATTGCTTGGAGCTTACCCTCGAAACCAGCCATCATCTTGAGGAGTGTTGACTCCATTGACTTTTGTGTAGAAGCTAAGTCCACAAAGTTTGACATCTTCAATGTGTATGTTGTAGCACAAAGTGTAAGTGGCCGGCAGGTTTATGCAGATAATTTCTTATTTAACACATGTAGTAATGTGCTAACACTGGATATGAGACTTTATATAATAAGCAATAAACTAAAGGTGAGATAATTAATAAATTGTTATTAAAACTTATTCAATAAATTAAAATTAATGAGAGAGATTTTTTAACTGTCACTGTTACAACTACCCGCCGAAAGATATTATAATTAATGCTTTTATAATTAATTAGGTACCTACTCTTATCTTATTTTTTAGAAATACATAGGTACCTACTGAATAAACTTACGCCATTTGTTTTATTAAAAAAATTTAAGATGGATTGGATTTCATTGCCACTTCTTATCAATTGAAATAGACATGGCTAGTAGAAACCTTTACGATAATGGTATATGATTTTGATTTCAAGTTGACAAAATATTTCAAGATATTTTTTTAAAAATTCAGACTTCGATGACCACGCTTTTTTGTGATAGTCACAAAATGGTGGATTTCAATATAAATCACAATAACAGGACTGAGAATACCAAAGTAAGTAATGATTTTGGATTTGTCATGGTAATGACCTTTTGGTACCGATGAAGGAAAATAATGTATAAGTATGTAATTTTTTTTAAAACACATATATATGGTAATATGTAACAGCGGGATGTACCTACTAACTGACAGGCATTGTTATGTAGATATAAGTACTAGTATATTGTAATCAATTTGTTTTTGAAATCATAACAGTAGGTATGGTCGCAACCCTCAGAAATTATATAACGATAACAATAACCCAGGACACAGCGCCATCTAGTCCCAAGCTAAGCAGAGCTAGTGTTATGGGTACTAGACAACTGGTACAAATACTTTTTTTTTTCTATAGGTACACAAAAATCATATCCCTATAGGTACTTAGTTAACACCTCGATCAACACAAACAATTATACTTGTGTATACTAAAGTTTGCATCGTACTAGGAATCAAACCCGCGACTATTGGATGTAAAGCGGTATATTAAACCGCTAGACTACCGAGTCAGTCAGAAATGTAATAAGACTCATTTTTACATTAGACAGATTCCAACACCGTTACGACTTAGGTACAACTTACCTTACCTACATTTTGTTTTCTAAATAATACATAATACCTATGTATATTATACATAATATATGTAATAGGTATTCTTATATAGGTATATTATTTACAAAAAAATATATCAATTAGCACCTATCATATATGACACAAATTCTTCTTAGCTTGGGACTAGATGAAATTATGTGAACAGGTCAGGAATATTATTATTATTACTCTCTGATTATAGGATCACCTATAACAATCCAAATTAATCTTAAAGAAAGGTAGGCTTGCCCTTTCCTCTTTAGATTAAAATATAAAAATACGAAATATCAGCATCTCTAGCTACCCCATCTGGCATGACAATCATGAAGATATGATTTATTCATTAATTAATACTTTATGACAGATAGGTATAGAAATAGAAAGTAAGATAAAACGGCACTTAGTACCTATATTCTAATCAGTTGATATTTGTTACCACATAACCACTCTTAATTCAAGTGATAAACATTCAAAACGCACGCTAAGTGGTCCATTCACTGACTGGATCGAAACAATCGAGATCTTATATTAAGTCATACCCAGTCTCGACTTATAGAAGACAGTGTACCATAAACTAAAAAAGAAAACAAAGACAAACGTCATAACAGCAGAAAGAGACCACGCGACACAGCGCGCACAACCAATTTGCATTGTACGCCGGCTGGTAAACGTTTAAATTCTTTTTCAAATTTCGAACAGTTGGTCTCGTTCTGCATAATAACATCCGTAAGGTAATGGCAGTTGCTTGGCCAATAGGGACACGCGGCGCATTTTCGTGGGCGTATTGGAGGTCTCCGATTGGTCGACTAGAGCGGGTTTATCACTCGATTTGTTGGGAGCGTCGTCACCGCAGTCGCGCCGCACGATTGTCGATTGTCGCCATTGTGCTTAGCGAGAAGCGGACGCGCGACGGCCGCTAGATTCGCACGCGCGTTATCGATAACTCTAATCGCATATCGATCGTGTAAACGATTAAAACAATTAACAGTTACATGTTTAGTATTTTTGAATTTGGAACAGTGTTTGTGCAGTGCGGGCGGGACTGGTTTACATTTAATAGCAGTGTATACAAGGCAACACCGTGGAGCTTGATCTACATCAACGTGCCAGCGGCCACTTTATGAGGTATATTTATTGACATAACTACTTTTTTACGCGGTGTTACCTGCATTTACTCTTCTTAAAAGATGATCTATCTGTATTCCAAACTTCATTTAAATCCGTCCAATAGTTTCTATGTAAAATAATAACAAATATAACTAACTTTTTTGTTAGTAGATATATTATCCTTATTTGAAGGTGAAACTTATAAGAGTTTTGCAGGTACATTTACATAAATATGAGAATATTCGAACTATTGTTATGCAAATTAATGGAAAACAATCATGAATGAATGATTGAATAGTCAACAATCGAATAATGTCATTGAACTTGTATCAAATCGATTTATTTTCGTATCCAATTCGATTCTGATTTTATTCTAATTACCTACTTGTATCTACTGATTTATAAATAATCAATTTGTTTATTCATTGTGAAAATCGGTTTTTAATTGTTTCTTTCCTGTAAGTAGGTGATTGACATTGCATAATATAAGTACCTACAAATAGGTACCTTGCTAGGAAGGTACTACATATAAATTCTTTTAGGGAGGAAGTGCATTGTTAGTATCTAATGTAATTGCATTAAAAGCATCATTGTTACCAATGTTAATACAATGTCAGGTTAACTTCCGCGGGGTCGCCCTGGAAATCTCATAAATTTCTGGTGTATTTCTCACGGTGTGCTAACTGACCTGACCTCATGTTCACCTTAGCATCCTCCACTGGTGCCCCGCCAGCGTAAACAGTAAGCGCAGGTGGTGCACCATTCTATTATCATCCATAATAAAAAATATACCAGCATGGTCCCACATTGAAATATTCATCTAATTATTTTTAGCAACAATATGATAATGAAATCTTTAAGAAAAGGGTTTATTTCTTCTTAAAAGGCCGGCAACACACTTGCAATTTCAATTCCCCTGGTGTTGCGGGTGTTCATGGGCGACGGTAATCACTTACCATCAAGTGAGCAGCAAGTTTGTTTGTGCCCTATGCCTTAAAAAAAATAAAGTATTGCCAACTCGCCATTTACAGGACGGTTTCTAAAAACGGGACAGTATTGCGTCATTAGACTCCTTTCGGGGATATTAGAATGCAGAATCTAAAAAGACGGTCCCGGTTTAAACAGTATGAATGGTCACCTTATGTGTATATAACCTAAAACTTTGTCAATAATATATTACTAGAATATTTTTAAACGAGTTACACAGCGCCATCTAGTTCCAAGCTAAGCCGAGCTTGTATTGTGGGTACCTACTAGACGACTGATATAAATATACTTACATAGATAGATACATTTTTTTGTAAATACACCCAAAATATACACAGAACACATCCATACCAATACAAACAATCATATCTACTCATGACTACAAATATTTGTACTGTGCGAGGAGTCGAGCCGCAATCATCAGTAAAATGGTGTGTTAAATCGCTAGACCACTGAAGCCTACCTACCCACCTACCTATACCTAATATAAACTGATTTTGTTTATAGTTTATCATATTTGCACCGCCAACAATCATTCTCTGCACCAACTATGGTTGCCTGGTAGAAAATTCTACTACTATATATTGTATTGTGTGCATTGAAGTTAAATAAATAAATAAACACTTTCAAGGGGGTGGAAAATGCGATGATAACCGCTTTTAGGTGGACCGTCAGCTTGTTTGTCACATTAGGTGTACAGAACCTAATATTTTGTCAATAGATAAACCTATAATATAGTAAGCAGTAGCACCTATAGGTAATATAAACACTTTTAGTGAGTAAAAAGTGTGTTGGTTACTGCTTTCCATCAGGTGGACTCTCAGCTTGTTTGTCATTTAAGTTATATAAAAATAAGTAATCGTACTTAGTTAAAAAAGCTTCTTATATTTAATTTTTATTATAATTATTTTATTTAGTATCGCTTGACATTTTTTTTGCACCAGTTATTACCCACTCAGTAACCTATGCCACTGTTTTAGGTTTACTGGAAGATATCTCTTCTCAGGATAAGTCCACCTTTCTCACATTATCTCTAATTTATAATATCGTTATATTCCCTGTGCAATAAAGACTAGGTATAACTAAATATAACTAATTTTATTTTTGTACAAACGGACATACCGTCCTTTCTAATTAGATTTATACAGTCCAATTCGAAAATCAATTGCTTAAGATATACCTATTGTTACACTTGGTTTCATAAAATACATCACGCGATTTTTTTTATTCTCATTGTAATGGTGACGGTCTCGGATACTAATTAGTGATTAGAGAAACTTATATTTAATCGACAGTATCAGAAGTAGAAATAGAAATAAACATTAGTAAGTAGTAAGAAGATTAATATACCTATGGTATGGTATGGTGGTATTAATATACCATGGTCTTACTTAATTAGTCTTTATAATATACCTACTCGGATGAGAATAACAATGTCTCTAATTACCCTGGAATTGCAGTCGTAAAGAGACCTTATTAATAACTTATATTAATTTAAGAAGAATTAGCAGGTTATCGTAGAAAATAGATCATTAATACAGGAACTGTCAAGTTTAGTTGCACATTCTTTCATCATTTAAGTTACGTGATACCTACATGATAACATACTACCCATAAGTTCAGGTCAACTCAGATTTATAAAGTAGTCATCGGCAACAGGAATCTTATATCTGAATCTCCTAATTTCTTCCACTACCTTCTTGAAAGGCCGGCAACGCACTTGCAATTCCTATGGTGTTTTTTTTGTGGATGATAATGGAATGGTGCACCCGCCTGCGCTAACGGTTTACGCTGGCGGGGCACCAGTGGAGGATGATAAGATGAGCATGAGGTCAGGTTAGTTAGCCCATCGTGACAAATTCACCAGGAATTTAACACGGTGGTTTCTAGGGGGAACCGCGTGGAGGTCGAACTGACATAGTACATTGCTAG